TTCAAACCTGACTTCATCAACTGGACGGGGGCGGGGTGGGGGGTTCTCTGCATCTGAAAACGTACAGACATATGCTGCCGAAAATATAACCACAGAGTTTAAGTCAGTGATCAAGATAAAGTGAAAAGTGTCAAGTCACAAATCAGATTTACACAATTTTACCCTCCTACCTCATATGTAGACTTAGCTAGGGATGGGCGGACAACATTGATGACAATGACATGATATCAATATTAGGTGTTTTATTTAAACTGAATTAGTATCATTGAACTGATGGTAATCAAGAAAAGTAAAAGAAAAATGACCAGAGAATAATAAATAAATGCATAGGATAGGATACTATTCCTACTAGGACTTGCTTTTTACAGCAGAAACAGCCACATGAGATGCACTGAACGCTCTATAATGGTAGGTCATTCAGAGTTATTTCACTAAACAGATAGTTTATGTGGACGTTTATTAAATATTAATGCAAAGGCTTTTAAGTATTATTTTTAATGTCCACTATTTCTATCATCATCATTGTATCAGTATCATCATTGGTTTTGGGACATTAGCACTGGTATTACTTGGTATGTAACCAAGGAAATTAACCCTTTAGCCATTAACAGAATTCTATAACAACAATTAACCCTTTTTTAATATTATTTAGCCCTCCTTTCCCAAATAAATGAATGTTAAATGAATGTTCGAAGTAACATTCACGATATACTGTGATAGCAGGGCACGACCTGAAGGAGGCGCTGCTGCTGCTGCTCTAATGCTGCGCTGCTGATGCTGTGCTACCAGAGACTGACTATGTAACGTAAGTGGAACTCCCAGCTTAGCCAATCAAATTAGACCTGGATGAGGGTCTCCGGTTTTACTTATTCTGCAAAGTAACGTCAGTCTGCAACAACTGAAGCTGAAGACAGGATTTTGGCTGAAAAGCTTAATAAAATAAACATTAGACCTTAAAAATCTATGATATACAGAGTGAAACAAAGAAATACAAAGAAACTTCACTTTATAGTGACAGTGTAAATGAGTGACGGACAGAAATAACATTATTGATAGCTCTTTATATTCTTTGCTTTTAGATTTCTCTCCAGTGTTTGGTAACATTGACATCAGTTTTTGCCATATATTGGTGTTTACAGTAAGTTAATGTCAATAAAAAGATCATATAGTGTTGATCACTATATAAATTAAGAGGCGGCAGCTCTGTGCAACGACAATCAATGAGAAAATTGTACCAGTTTTTGCAAAAAAATGAACTGAGTGATCTCTCATTTCTTTCTTGAAGTCTTGTAAATCTGAGTTTAATAAAAAAATAATGGATTACTAACAGATGAGGAGTTTAAGAGAAAGAAACTTATGAAGACTGACAGAGCTGAAGGAGCAGATCTGAAGTAGGTTAGTGATCAAGAAGAAAGCTAGGGTGAGTTGTTTAAGCTTTCAATTAAAATTAATGCTGAATTTAATTAAACTTAACAGAGAAAATATATTATTTTTCATTATGGTCATAAAGTTCTGTCATCTAGCTTATTAAACTTGAATCAACCCACTTTCTGAACAAAGTCACACTCTTTCTGACTGTACCAACTTAGACTGATCTATTATCTGTGTATTTGAATAATATATTTAGGCTCTTGCAGCTTAGATAGAAGAGATAGCATCGCTTGACTTCAGTGACTTTGCTTGATCTGCGCCTGTTGTAAGTGGATAGACACAGTATTTGAGTCATACTAGCTCTGTGCTTTATACAAATTGTAGAGAGGCAGATCTACTGGGTGATAATTTGACCAAACAGCCATTTTTGGATATGTTGTGTGTTGTTGTGGCTGTTAATGATGAACAGACATTTTGGGGTCATTTAAAAAATTATCCTGGGAGACAATGTCCCCCGACCCCCCAATACAGCCTTAGCCCCCCTATCCATAAACTCTGGTGATGCCCATGACAACAACTAAGTAAGTTCTTTATCATCATGTCATACTCAAATAGCTAAAGCCTGCAGAATCAGTCGAAGAACTTTCTCCAGCTACGGTTTCACAAAGCCTCAAAGACACTGAGCTGCCTCAATAAACTGAAACTAACTGGTAGCAAACAGAAAAACCAAGTCATCAATACTTTATGAGATTCATGTTCATCTACCAAAGTTTTCTCACTCATGTTGGACCACAAACTTGATTCTGTGTTCACTACAGGAGCTAAAAATATATTGATATTTATTATTTATTTATTTTTATTTTTTTTAAAAAAACTGGCATCTTCAACTCAGCTGAGCTGAAATCCTGTCTGACACATCTGTCTCCATATCTGATAAGCAGAATATTTTTAAACACTGTATTTCTCGTTTCTGTGGGATTCATCACATAAAGGGATGTACAAATGTGTAAAACTTTTTGTTACAAATCGAAAAAACTGAATATTTTGATAAAAAAACAAAACACCAACAATTCAAAGAGTCATCTGCATGCAGTGTGGAATGCAGAGCGGCTGGCAGAGCCTGCTGTAGGGTCTAAAGGGTTAACGGTGTCGGCCATCCCTAGTCTCAACCTCATGCTCTTCTCACACAGAGAGCTGGCCACAGCTATTGGGATTTTGTCAGTTGCATTCTGATTGGCTATCTGTGAGTCAGAGTACACACAATTCCATGCAGTGCTTTTAATCATTCAGACAGGAAACAAAGTTTTGTTCTGCACTGGACACTGTGACGAAGAACGAGCCTTTCAGATCAAGATATATATAGGTGGGATTTTCATAATCACCTCCCCCTACACGCCGCCCCGAAACAACAGACCGTGATTGGTCGTTTGTCATGTCAGTGAAACAACCTCTTTCCGACAAGGTAGGCGGTTCTTGGCCAGGCTTTGCCGTGAAAAGCAACAGCCTCTCTGCCAATAGGCAGCAGTCTGGCTAAGAAGACTATCTCACATGTAGTAGAGCAACCAACCGGGGGATGAGTCCTCCTCACTTTTTAAAGTTTAGGGGCTCTTGGGATGATTGACACAAAAGGTATACGGCCTATAGTACTGGTGATATGTTTTTGAGAGGGACTTTTTCATAAAATCTTCCACACTAGTGATCTTTTATTTCTATTAACTTTATGTGATTATGGTCTAGCTACGTTGTGGCTATGTCCACGTTTGAAGCGTTCTTCAGAAAAGGTCTGCCACTTGAAGCAAACCATTCAGTCAAATCAGAAACTATTATTAGCTGTATTTATCTTTTAAAGTAGACACATTGCTTTGTTTGAGCAGTGAAGCAGTTATGAGATTTTTACATGACCACTTTCCAGACTCTCTTTATCCCTTAGAATTAAACAGACTTTTTCAGTTACTTTGCCTTTAAGACTGCTCTGTTCTGATTGGTTGCCCTAAATATATGTATGTCATGGGGGAAGCGAACCAAACTACATTTTAGTAGTGAAGTAACGGTTTGACAACTGTGCAGCAGTACAGTCTACTATTTCGATATTTACGTTGTTTGAGTGCACTGAACTGTCTTGCATATTACAAACAAAATGAGTCTGCTTGGTTACTGATGTTTTATCAGTAGTGCATTCACTAGAGACACATTCAAGACACACAGAAATGCCAGATGTAAACAGCTATACATCCTGGTGTCCACTAATGACCAGATTACTCAAGACAGATGTCAATACCAGGTATGAACAGGACACAACAGACTTGCTTATGTGCCTTCTGAAACTGTATGTCAGAATGTTATCTATACAAACTCAAGCTTTAGGATTACCAATGATATGAAACATGCCACTCAACCTCTTTTCAAAACTACATACTTTTTTCATACTGGCTCATTTCCTTATGTATGAGAGGGATGCAGTGCCGCAGATGGCCTGCAGGGGCCGCTCTGTTCCCTCAACTAAATTCTCTCAGTTCTGTCAGTAAAACAGCCCTTACAAATCAGAAAGAACAGGCTGCCCCCTCCCCACTTGCCCATTTTCTTGTAATCTCTTGTCTATCTCTCTGAATCGCATGCCCCGTTGACCTCACTATCCGACTCCATTGATGTGATCAAGGGCTGCTTATGGAGAAAACGTGTTTCCGGCTCTGGCAGAACAATTCAGTCAGCTTCCACCACAGGTGCTCAGGGTGGCAGGCTCGTTTTAGAACAGAGGTTTGTTTTTGGGATTTTCACATCAGAGCTAGCTAAGCATGTCAAAAGTTTTCAAAATGTTTGCCTGTTCGTAAGTCAAGTATTTCAGTGTTTATACCAATGTGCCTTTGCTTGCTTGATCTTTCCAGTATACGTTAAAAGGGGAAAGAGCAGCCGACCAACAAGGCTTCTAAACTCCAGATCTGCACCAACAATATATGTCCTAAGGTTATGAATTTTATAAACATACTGCTGGAAATATCAATAAACCTATAGCATAATCCCAGCACAAATGGCCTTGGGTTTTAAAGCGATACTTCAGAACAGACAAGACATGTTTGGTGCCTGAAACTAGTTTTTTTAAGTTTTGAACTGGAGCTACAAGGTTAATGTAATAACATGTTATAGAAGTTTCTACCCCACCAGTTAGCACGGTGCTAACTGTATGCCCAAGTCATCAAGCACTGGCTTCAAAATATGTTGAGTTATTGAGTAATCTCAAATAGACTTGCTTTTGTGGTGTCTGACACTGTTTAACATACTGACATACTGTTACCTATAAAAAAAAGTACTTAAAATAGTAGAAGGCACCTTGAAGCCTAAATATTATGTACTCTTTTTAGATACCGATGTGTCATACTTGTTAGCTACAGCAGCCTCATAGCTCTAGCAAAACTGAAAAAAAGCCAACTTTAGACCCCAAACATGTCTCAGCTGATTTGGGGTAAGAGGGAAATTGTGTGCAGTAGATTCTTCCAAGACTATAGCTGTAACAGTATAAGTGAGAGTGGACTGTGCAGAGAGTGTGTTCAGTGGGAGTGTCCAGAGGGAGTGTGTGTAGTGTGTGGGTGTGTGTGTGTGTGTGTGTGTGTATAGGGAGTGTATTATGTTCTCACTCGTTGAAGACGAGGTCCGGGGCGAAGTAGAGCATCTGCGCGTTGGTGTGTTTGTAGGATCTCCAGCTGAGGGAGAAGGAGGAGAGACACATCCAGGAGTACTGGATCAGCGTGATTTGGTCCTCAATGGGCAAAGTGCGGAAACCTAAAGAGAGAGAGACAAAGAGAGAGAGAACGAGTTACAGAAAGTCATCATTAGGGAGGTACACCAGTGCAAGTAAAACACCAAACTCATCAAACTATGTCTCTTGGGACCTCTCTTTGTGCCTAGGGGTACAGTCATGCTGGAATAGCAAAGGGTCTTCCCCAAACCGTTGACACAAAGTTGGAAACATATAATTGTCTAAAATGTCTCTGTATGCTGTAGCATCAACTTGAAAAGCAGCCCAGGACCAAACTTTCTCTCCTCCACAAAACCTTACTGTTGGCACTATGCATTCCGGTAGGCAGCATTCTCCCGGCATCCACCATACCCAGACTTGTACATCAGACAGCCAGATAGTGAAGTGTAATTCATCACTCCAGAGAACAAGTTTCCACTGCTTCCAGTGGTGTCCAGTGGTGGCATGCTTTACACCACTGCAGCTGACACTTGCCATTGAGCAGAGTGACCATAGGTTTATGTGCTGATGTTGCTTCCAGAGCCAGTCTGGAAGTCTGCAGTGAGGGATGCTACAGAGGACAGGCGTTTTCTACATGCTACAAGCTACAGTGCTCTGTGGCCCCACTCTGTAAGTTTGTGTGGTCTACTTTGTGACTGAACTGTTCTTCTTAGAAGCTACCACAGTTGACCGGGGCAGATCTAGCAGGGCAGAAATGTCAGGAAATGACTGACGTTTTAAATTAGGAGCAGTGTCAACATACTTTTGGCCTTTCATTGTATTACTACTACTACTACTACTAATAATAATAATAATAATAATAATTATAATTATAATATTTATTTATTTATGGCATGATATCATTGTGATAATATTATGGCACTGTTGCTTGAACAATACATTCGAAATATTGAATATATGTGATATTTGATATGTGTGTGTGTATGCGTGCACGTGTGTGTGTGTGGACCAGCTTTATGCCACATTGTGGAGACCAAAACCTGTTCACACACTCATGTTGTGGGGACTTGCTTCCCTGTGGGAACCACAAGCTGGTCCCCACAACGTAAATCATTCAATTTTAAGGTTATGGTAAGTTTAAGGTTAGGGATAGGGTCAGGATTAGGTTAAGGGTTAGGGCTAGACTAGTAGTATTTCTGGTTAAGGTTTGGCTAAAGTCTCCAGGAAATGAATTCTATATAGTCTACGCTATGGACCCAAAATTCACAGAAACAAGATTATGTGTGTGTTGTCTGAAAAGTGGGTAAAGAGAGTTGTGTGTGTGTCTGTGTGTAGACAGAAGCGGGGCTGTTTGTCCTGAGCTATAGGTGCAGGTCTGGAAGTGTTAATATTTGTCTAGATGCGATAAACTGCTGCAGCACAATCACTAGAATCAGCTTTACACGAACTGCCCAAGGCCTCCATTTATCACTTTGTTGTGTATTAGAATTCCATAAATAGACTTCACCGGACACTGGACAGAAACCTGGACAGAAAGCTTCACACATGCTACAGCATCAGACGAACAAAGACACATGAGGAAGTTAGCAGCGAAGAGGATGCGTTTTCCCAAAGCAGGACATTTGTCTACCATGTCCAGCTCACCCAATTGACCATGACTCCTGAAGTACGAAGTGCATAGATTTTAAAGCCTCACCAGGCCTGGATGATTCTGTCTTCTGTACATTTCTCATTAGCTCCTTTCTTTGTCTGAAAGGGTCTGTACTTCAATTTCTCACTCTCATAACTACATATTTAGTAATCACTGAATGACGTACAGTAGTTACTGAATAATTCACAGAAGTTACTGAAGTTGTGGGATTAACTGAATAATAAGCGTGCAGTTAAAAGTAATCACTCTAATTAAATCATGAATTGATTAGATACCATTGAGCTGATCAGATAGACCTTTGACAGAATTTGGAACAACAACTCCGTCTGTAAGTCTTTCAGTTTGAACACGCAAAAACATTTGAGTAATTTAGGAGAATCAACAATATTAACAATATTAATCCTTAAAACCCTGTAAAATTAGGGCTTGTGGGCAGTTTCTCACTGTAATAACTACATTATTTACACATTAGACTCATAGTAGTTACTAAATAAATAACTACTGTAACTGAATCATAACCTTAGAGGTCAAGGAGTTAAAACACAAGTTCAAGTTTGCAGATTTAGAATAATGTAATATCTATATAATATCTAAGTAATTGTGCATATGTACATATATATCTCCATTTCTGTCATTTTTCAGGTTTTTCAGACAAAATGTGAAAATGCTTTTTGCCCTTTATATTCTGTGTAAATTTCATGATGAAATGGCCAAAATTTACTTGGAAAAAGTCTGGTTCCACTGACATATATTAGAAGCACAGTATGTTTGTCCACAGAAAAACAAGTATCTCCAAACCTTACAGGTAACTTTACAGGTAACTTTACAAGAGGGGGCAAAAACTTTCTTTACTTTTAATGTAAGTTAATGTGAAGAGATTTTATCCCCAGTGATTTTTGGAGCATTTCTATCGGTCCAATAATCATGAAATTCTAGCTCAAAGTAAAGGACAGCTGCCATGCTCAAATGATGTAGAAAAATAAAAATCGAAAAAATGGAGATACATGTTTTCCTCTGGACAGAGAGGAATCGGGATTTTAAACCGTTTTGCTCTCTAATTTAGTCACAGCCCCAGTTCCACTCACTAACCTGGTCTATGCCAGTCATGCAATGTTGCCAAGCTGGGAGGGTGAAGTTCTAGCATGTGCTTCCTCTGAGACACGTGAAGCACCACCACATCTATTCGAACTGCTCCTAACATGACCCTTATCAGATAGCTCAACGTGCTTGGAGGAGAATGCTATCTGCCAGTTCTGTTACTGTCAGCTAACAGATGCCCACATTGGCTAGCAATGTGCTAAGTGATGGGGGAGAATGAGGGGCATCCTACCCACCCCGGGAGAGGGAAGCCAATTATGCTGTCTTGAGCTCTTGGCCACAGATGGCTGTGGCATCACCAAAGATCAAATCGCGTTCTCTTATGATAGGGCTGAGACGGTTGTGCCACTCGGGAGCCCTCCAGAACAGCGCTCTTTCATCCTGGAGACATCAGACAAATATGAACCCTTTTACTGAATCTTGTGAATCTTTTCTCACTAAACAGAAGGATGCTGCAGCCCAGTAATGTACAATGACCAGCCATGTTTGATGTGAATGGACGTGTGTTCTGCTCTTACTGCGCAATGTGTGCTCCTGATCTTGTGGCATGTCTTTGAAAGTCAGCGGGCCCAGTTTGCCCTGCTGTCTGCCGGCTTTCTATTTATATGTCTGGATATAGCAAGCAGACACCCTGGTATCAAATAATTGCAATACAGCAAATGACTCCTCAGAGAGGGGAAAGTGTAAAGAGTTCAGCAGGAAAAGCCAAGACAGAATCTGCACCAAACTTCAAGCTAGATACTTTAATCAAAGATCACTGTAACTCAGGTATATAAACCTGGATGAGCAATCTTACAACACATCACATATGGTAGCGTTTGCATATGGGTGGAATGAAACAGCTGACTGCTGGTTATTTTAGATGGTGACAGCTTGAAAAAAACAAACAACATTTGCAGGTGTTTCTAAAGTCTAAACTCCAATGTAAAGTATGCTATATAGACAAAACTCTGTGGACATCCCTCATAATTACTGAGTTCAAGTGTGTCAGCTTAACTCTTTTCTTAAAGGTGTATAAAATAAAGCACATAGCCATGCAATCTCCATAGAAAATAATAACAGCAGAATGGGTTATACTGAAGTGGTCAGTGAAATGGAAGCATCTAGGAGCAACAACAGCTCAGCTGTAAGGCGACAGACCACACAAGCTCACAGTGCGGGGCCAGTGAGTGTGTAAAAATGGCCTATCTGTTGCATCTCTCACTATAGATCGGGGTTTAATCAATGCCAGGAGAATGATACCTACCAGAATGTGCCAACAGTAGAGAGATAATGGTCTGGGGCTGGTTTTCAGGGTTTGAGCCCCTTGAAGTGTAACGGTAATGTTAATGCTACAACATACAAAACATTTTAGACAATTATATGCTTCCAACTTTGTGACAACACTTTGGGGAAGACTCTTTCTTGTCCCAGCATAAGTGTGCCCTGTGCAAAGCAAGGTTCATAAAAACGTGGTTTGATGAGTTTGGTGTGGAGGAACTCCAGTGGTCCGTACAGAGCCCTGACCTCAACCCCACTGATGAGTTGGAAAGTCGATTGTGTGCCAGGCGTTCTCGTTCAACATCAGTGCCTGACCTCACAAATGCTCTTTTGACTAAATGGTCACAAATTTCCACAGACAAACTCTTGTCCAAAGCCTTCCCAGAAAAGTGGAGGCTGTTATAGTCATAAAAGGAGGGGACAACTCCGTATTAATGCCCATGGTTTTGGAATGGGATGTCAAACAACTTTGAGGATTTTCTTTTAAAATTTGAATTGTCCCACTGTTATCTTTTATTTAAGTAATAAAGTATAAACACTAAAATACCTACAATGATTTAATTAGGTAAAAGCAGCTAATGTGCTAATCTTTTGGGTATATTTAGCTTCAACACTCATCTTCATATACATTCATGTGTCACCATACATATGAAATAGTGTTGTAGTACTCAGGTTGGACTCAGACTACTTAGATGAACCTTTTTAAAGCTCTATATTACTGAACATCATACTTTACAAAATATATATTGTGTATAACAAACTATAATGAATGTACAATCAACTCAAACAAATTTTTTTTTTCCCCTTCTAATTTTTATTTTTATACTCTGAAAAAACCTTGATCTTGACTCGGACTCAATCTGTTCAGGTCTCGTTCTTGACTCAGACTAGCCTCTAGTGGTCTTGACTACAACACTAATATGAAGAGCAGATTTTGTCTAAATAATATTTTGACAGTTTCCTTTTTCCAAACACACGCATATTAAAACCATTAAAAGTGATCAGTGTAGTGTAGCAGGTAACATCTCTGCCTTCCATGCTGTAGATTGGGGTTCAAGCACCCAATGCTATACCAACATGAGTCCTTGGGCAAGACTCCTAATGATACTTTTGCTCACCGGTGTAAAAACTGATCAAGTTGTAAGTCACTCTGGATAAAAGCATCCGCCAAATGCCATGAAAGTATTAAACTCCTTTAAATTATGATTTGCTTTGTAGTTATTTCTGGAAAATCAGGATTCAAAATCCACTCATAGGTTTTTTTACAGTTTAGTGGTGAAACCATATTTTACTGTTATTTTGTTTCGGTTTATAAAAAAAGTTCTTTGTGCTTTTGCACTGTTACATCTTTACTGCACTTTTTTGTATTTTTTCAAGACAGTAGCAACCAACAGCATAAACAAGATCTCTATATATTCTCACCATCATATGCGAAAGTTTGTGTGCCCCTGGTCAAACTATGTTTTATTGATTTTTTAAGTGAAAATAAGTTAACATATCATCTACAGAGAACACACTTCTGTACAGAACACACATAATGTACAATTACTGTTTATTTGCTGAATTTGACATAGACTTGACATTCCCTATAGAAGATGTATTTACTTATTTACATTTAAAAATCAACAAAAACCGTAAATTGACCAGGGACACTTAAACCTTTTCATACGACTGTATATTCTGTCGAACACAGGTATCAAAAGCAGGCAATAACAGGCTTAGACCTTAAGCTCAGGGTCAAACATACCTGGAAGTACTTTGGCCCACTTGACCACGCGGATCATCTGTTTGCCGGCGAGCTTATTTAGGCTGGTCAGCAGGTGGTCAGTTGTGTCTGGCTGTGTGTTGTCGTAGCCAGCGAACACCACTTCGGGCTCAATGAGCTCCAGAACGCTGCAGACGGACGGAGACAGGTACGATGTGACGGCAGGGCTGTGGGGAACCAGAGCCATGGAGTTCAGCTCCTTCTCTGATGAGAGGAACGGGACGGTGTCTTTAGAACCCTGCACTGAGTCCTCACTCACACTCTTCAGCTTCCCCAACTTCTTTGACTTCCGTGCTGAGGGGAGAAACATGGAGTTAACTTTTTAAAAATGCTTTGGCTCAAACCTAGAGTTAGTACTGTTGTTTGGCTACTCTATTCATATGTAATTGTATAATGATATATTAATTACACAGTTAGTTACACAGCTAACTAATGTTTGCCCTCCACAGACAAGTTTGAGGCTTTTATGTTTGTTTTGATTTTCCTTCCTTCAAAACAAGTTATAATATAGCATATAACTTAAATAACTTAGCATATATATATAAATATAACTTTTCATCAAATTCAAATCATAATAATATATCAAATCGTCTACTTACAAACACAAATGTGACATTGAGTTTATTATTGTGCAGTTTTGACAAAATTTCTCTGCTTTTTTCAAAATATGAATAAGAAATAAAATAGAATCATCAGAGCTGTGATGTTTCAGAGAAAGCATGTATCAACACAGTATAAAAAGGGTAGACATGAACAGACAGCATGAGAGAGTATCCTCAAAATAAAGATAGATTAAAACAAAGCACTTCTGAATCACAGTTGTTTTTTTAGTGGTAGTTAAAAATCCAATTTGAAGAAAATTGTCTGTTTCGCTCGCAATGATGCATAAAAATAGAAAATAAATTGCTCTGGTTTTCAGGGGACAGTTCAGATTAAGGCCTGCTGTGGGAAACACCAAACAGAGGCAAAACAGTCAGTGTTGCTGTTGCAGTGTTTGCTTGTGTTTTACTATGTTTGCTTGTCTCTGTAGTCATGTTGCCTGCCCTTTTTTGTCATGTATTCCTAGGTTTATTTTCAGTGCAGAGGTGGATGATATGGCATACAAAAAATATTACAACATTTTCACGATACATGATACTCAGTTTGAAACAGACCAAAAAAGAACCAGCAGTGCCACAATAAAAATATTGTGAATACAATAACTTTTATTCAATGTTTCACACAATGCACTGCACTAAATCACATTAAACAGGACTACCCTACCTAGAAAAACAAGCATAGACCAGTATAACTGATCACCAGTAAAACCAGCATATATTGTGTTTTGGATGTTGGTCAGCAGCAATGGTAGTTCTGTTGCTAATCAATGGCAAAACCAGAATATGTTGCGTTTTGGATGCTGGTATGCTGGTCAACCAGCATGACCAGGCTGGATGACCAGCTAAACCAGCACTAGACCAGCATAATCCAGCACAAGCCAATTTAGAGCATCTTAAAGAAGCACAGTTTGTGCTGTTTTTTTTCTTCATCAGTAATTATCCCCTCTTTTTAATTAATGTGACAATGAACCTCCCAGCGAGTGGATGGAATCAGGTGCAGGTTTATTAAGGCGTTCAAAACACAAACATCCTGGGTCAAATCCTTCAAGATGGCATCAACACTCAGACAGACACCCAAAGAACACAATCCAATTCTCAAAAGCGAAATACCAAAGCTACAGATCGTCACCAGAAGAAAATTTCTATTCGACATTTGATCAGCTAAATAAATATATTCCACTCATTTATACTTTAGAGAAGCCCACTGATATGTAAAACTGACAGAAAGACGTGAAAAATCAGAGCCAGGAAAACCTCCAAAAAGCTAAGTGTGACAGTAGCTTGGCGATAGCAAAGATTTTCACACACCATAGAACAGGTACAATTTTGGCTTTCACTCTAACACAAGACTGTTGACTTTGCACTCTCAGATGTCCTCTAAGCGGGTGTCATTTTAGCATTAGTTAGCTGGACTCAAGCCTGTGCTGAGTGGCACATTTAGCCTGCTAACTAAGATATCACTAGCTTAGCCAAAACACTGCAGACCCAAACACCACAGAACAGGTTCAAAACTTTTTGATTGTTTTCAAATCTGCAATAATGTAGAACGACATAAAATTGCCATAGGTTTTCATGTAACTCACGACAGTTTGAAAGTATACTGCCCATGGGTACTCCTATTGCATTGGGGGGTTTTCTGGTTTATGAACTTTGTAAGGCATTCTTGAATTTGTGCTCTTTTTAAAAATCACTATTATTATTATTATTATTATTATTATTGTTATTGTTAGAATGAGCACAAAGTCAGTCAGACTTAAAATCTTCTCCTTTTTTCACTGATTTCTGTATTTTGCATTCACTTGTATTTCTCACTTTAGCAAGCTTGGCTCACGTTATTTATCATCACTCACTCTTAAGCACGATTCATCAGAATCACAGTCATTCATTAAAGTCTGAAAGAGGAAACGCCTTAAGTCCTATAATGCCTGTTTGAGTGACTGTTAACTAACAATGTGTCATTTGCAATCTTTTAGCCCAACTGACAGGAAAGCCTGACTAAAGCACTTGTTTTTGGACTTCAGGGAATCCAAAGTGAGTGAATCAGGCTTTGGACTGTGTCCACCTCCACTAAAGCAGTGGAATTTAGCAATCCTGCTAGGTAGAGGCCAGGCTTTGAAAAAGACGATACTGGCCAAATTAACCGGCTCACTGAGGTCTCTATTTTAGAGACAGGTCAGATGAGTAATGACAGCAAGGCCTGTTTATGTGCTTATTTTCTGTTTGTGAACTTTTGTTTGCCTAATCTATCATACTGCCAAGTTTACTTTAGAGTAGTGAAGTACACAGAGACACAATCAGTTAAACTCAGGAGGCTATGTGAGTCCAATTTCAGCTTTTTTTTATTGGCATTTATTTTAAAACCACTTAGTATAGATATAACTTTTTGAAATGAATTAATTCTGGTGTTATAGATTTCTAATTACACAAATCTACTGACCAGAATCATTGATGGTCATATAGAAAATGCTGGACACATATTTCACTCACATTTTTACTTTATGGTTTTTGGATGATTCTAATCTAGACTAAACCTTTTATTGGCAATGTACAGTGTGCGATTTTTTACTATTGCACCAGTTCTGAAAAATTTTAAATGCAAAGGGGCGTGTACACTACCATTTTAAATTCGGAATCACTGTTTTCAATAATATAAAACCAATTTTGTTTGCTTATACAAGTAATTAAATGATTCTTATATGATGCTGATATTCCACAGAGTTCCTATTTGTACACAGAAGCTGTAATAATGAAGAAATTGACAATGAAAAATGGAGCTGTAGATGATCCCAGCTGCATTTGAAAGCTGTGTAGCAACGAAGATGGACCTGTAATGAAATTAATGTCCAGAATGTCTTATATTCATAAAGTGGTGACGAAATCTCACTGATCAGACAGATATTCATAGAGATTTCATGATAAAAGATTGCTTTTATCAGACATTTTATTATTTAATAATATTTATTATTTTTTACAATGTTATAACTTCTCGTTATTCCCAATATACTTTACAATGTGAATAAACAAACGGTTTACTTTAAACCAATATATTATTGAATACCAATTATTAATCTGCACAGTGAAATGATAAAGGAGCTGCATGTTGAATACTGTTGAATGGGCGAGTGCTGCTGAAACTTTTGTTCTCTTACAACAACCAGAACTTCAGGGCACTACTTTTATCCATGTTTCCCATCTCCATATTCATCCACAGTTTATATTTATGGTAAGATTTGGGATTTTCAGAGTGTTTTACATACTTTGTTAGCCCCCTTTTACCCTGTTCTTCAATGGTTAGGACCCCCACAGGACCCTCACAGAGTAGGTATAATTTGCGTGGTGGATCATTCTCAGCACTGCAGTAACACTGGTGGTGGTGGTGTGTTAGTGTGTGTTGCGCTGGTATGAGTGGATCAGACACAGCAGTGCTACTGGAGTTCTTTGACACCTCAGTGTCACTGCTGGACTGAGAATAGTCCACCAACCAAAAATAACCAGCCATGCTATGACCACTGATGCAGGACTAGAGGACGACCAACACAAACTGCAGCAACAGATGAGCTACTGTCTCTGACTTTATATCTACAAGGTGGATCAACAAGGTAGGTGTGTCTAATAGAGTGGACAGTGGGTGGACACAGTGTTTAAAAATTGCAGAAGAACTGGTATATCTGATCCACTCGTACCAGCACAACACACACTAACGCACGACCATCATGTCAGTGTCACTGCAGCGCTGAAAGTGATCCAACACCCAAATACTTGCTCTGTGGTGGTCCTGTGGGGGTCCTGACCATTGAAAAATCATATGTAAAATGTAGAAATAGTTTCTTAAATTTTTAACAACCATTTGAAAATAGCTCTAAGGTTGTGTTTCCGTATTTGTCATTTTCTGTATTTTCCGTTTTTGCACTGATGTTACACAAACGTTTGCTATTAGTAAGTGATTATGTGTCGTCTTCGGGTCAATTTTCTGACCAGTTTAACCAGTTGCATTTTAACGCGATTTGACATAAATTCCAGATTAATCCTGCTTCCACTACCATCTGGCTTCACTTGAATATTCTGCTGTTGTTGTGCTGTGTCTTCTCACGTAATCTCTCATGACTTTGGAGCTCAACAAATTTTGGTTCACTCTGCACTCTGTGAGGAGCATTAATTTAACAGCACAGCAACCAGTGCTGAAGAGTCATTACTGGACTAATAATGTTTTTAAATTCTGTTTTTAAATGTTTTTTAAATTCTGCTAATGTGGACATATTGCTTGCTGCTTGTTTACTGAGTGTACTGCTGCTTTTGTAACGATGCCATGACTCGCGTGAGGACAGGAGTTTTCTGCCCTGGGTTTCCTCGGTAGTTTGTAATAAGCAGCTTTACAGAGGTTTATTGTTCACAGTAAGTAGCAGTTTACCTCCTAGATTCATCCCTGCCTGGAGACACTTCCGTACTCGGCAAGCTGGACAGTTTTTCCGTCGGATTTTGTCGATGATACAGTCGTTTCTCCCAGCGCAAAGGTAGTTGTGCTGACCTGAGGACAGAGAGAGGGAGAGAGAGAGAGAGAGAGGGAGAGAAATGGACAGACAGACAGAAAAAAGAGGGAGAGATCAAGATGAAGAAAGAAAAAAGGAAAGACAGAACGAAAGAAAGAAAGAAAGAAAGAAAGAAAGAAAGAAAGAAAGAATAGACAAATAAAAAAGAAACAAAGAAAAAGAGAGGAGAGAGAGAGAGAGAGAGATTTTTATGTTACTGGTTTTGTTTTTAGTGTTAGTAACCTGACTAAAGCAGTGTTAATGTGAGTTTCATTAAATCAACACTGTTTTAATGAATATAACAGTTGATTTTATCAAATCAAATGACTGGCACTCAATACTTTATTCACTCCATTGTCAGCAGTTCAATTTTGTTGCTTCCAGGCCTCATATTTGTGCAATGACTTGAGGATTTACGTCAGTGCAGTTACACAGGCGGAAACACTTGCTTTGGTCGAAGTGGTCTGAGACAGCATGTCTGGTGCCTCATACACTTAAATAAACAATAAACATGTTGTTTATTTGAATAAATTATACACCAAAAAACATTTTTTATCAGAAGTCCACTTACAATATTTGTATGGTCATGACCATTTTCCAAACTGTCTTTATCCCTCAGAATTAAACATGCTGTTGTTGTTACTGCATTGAGACTGATATATGTAAATTACCTCTGTTCTGATTGGTTGGCTTCTTTTGTGCCTTGTTCTAAAAGAATGTCCAGGATCAAATCTGGAACAAATTATTCAGTTTGGACTGAAATCTTCTGGAAAAAAAAGGAAAAAATAAATTTCAACTGCTCCTTTCAGATGTGCGGATCCTGAGAAAGGCTACAACAATCCACTGCCCAACAGCCAGAAACAACACAACGTTTAATCATTTTCCCCATATCTTCCTCTCTAATAACGCTGCTGCTGACAGTAACAACACTCTATATCACTTCAACGGGGATAAACCACTATAGAACGAATATGGTCATGCGTAAATGTGGGCATGGTTGTGACATCACAACTTTGGTTTTCTATAATATGGGCCCTTTAAGAGTAGTACTGATATTTACAAATATAATTCTGAAAAAAATGTTACTGTGCCAGTTGCCGCCTGCTACCGATCCACATGACTTATCTGCTGAATAGATAATGATCTAGTTGACTACAATAGGGAAAAAAGTGTCTTTTTCCAGTCTTACACACCACTATAGGTCTCGTCACATCACAAGAGTCAAGCACTTTTCACTTGTCTTAACATTTCTTAAGTATGAATATTTAATTGATTTTAAATATCAGTGCAAATGTATACTTTTTGCAACTTAGAATATGCACGTAATTCTACTCTTCAGAAAAATCAATTACTTGGAAGAGAATCAGGTTAACAGAATCAATAAATATCATTTTCTTTCGTTATAATGTATGGATAATCTATGTTTTTTTTTTATCAAGCTTTTATAATAAATCAATTTCCATAATTCCTAGAAAGCACATTTCTTCGGTCCTTAGTAAAGACTGATCTTTGAGTCAAGGACGTTGTATGACATCACCCTCCTGACTTGTACTTTGCTCACTGTAAATACACAACATTCTATACTGTAGGGTCCTTCGCTGACCCTCGGTTTGAGTGCGCTGCCCTGAAGAATGCTGTGTGAATGTGTGTAGTGGGGACAAGGCTGCAGTGATCTCTGTGAGTGAGTGTCTTCTCAGAGCCATTCTGCTCCACTGAGCCACACACACACACACCCACACACTCCACAGGACCCTCGCTCTGTGCCGCAGGGTCTCACACAAACACACACTCACTCTCTTCAGCCACACACGGCTGTGAGAGAGTCTTACTCAGTCCCTCTCTAGCTTTAGCTCTCTCACTCTCTCTCTCACCCTCTTTCCATATACTTGCATATAATGCTGTGCAAACGACTTAGTGTTTAACTCTCACAGTATTTAAAACCATTACTGTGGCCAGTAAGTGTGTTTCTGTCTTTTTGCTTGTAAAACCACCATATATCATAGAGGTTGGAGTGTCTAATAGAGTGGACAGTAAGTGGACACAGAGTTTAAAAACTGCTGTGTCTGATCCACTCGTACCAGCACAACACACACTAACACGCCACCACCACGTCAGTGTCACTCCAGTGCTGAGAATGATGCACCACCCAAATTATACCTACTCTGTAGTGGCCCTGCGGAGGACCTGACCACTGATAAATGGGGTTAGGGTGGGATAACAAATTATGTAAAGAAGCAGATGGACTAAAATCTGTAATTGTAGAAATATAAAGTGTACCTATATGGTAACTATAGCTGATAAAATAGATAATGAGTGGAGGTGTACCTAATGAAGTGCTCAGTGAGTGTGTATATATATATATATACATATATATATATACACACTCCCTTTTTGCAGCAATTTCATTAAAACATCCAGTTTTTTTCCCTAGAAATGTGTCGCACTGCCCACAGGCAATCATTTATCATTTAGGCAAAATCATTTTTCTCTCTTTACCTCTCTACCTCTTTCCATCTACCTCTACAGCCCATCTCTCTCTCATTCCTTCCCCCTCCCTAGTATTATAAGTCTTTTTCTTCCTTTTAACTTCCTCAGATCCCTGTCCTGCCGCTCATGCTTGGGCATCCCAGCAGGCCTCTGTCTATCTGTGTGGCTGTGTGGCTCAGGGTGGATTCAGTCAGCGGCACTGAGTGGTTACTTTGGTGTTTTATGGTGTTTTTTGGCTGTGTGTAGAGCGTGTGCTGAGGCTGGGTGGAAGCTGCCAGAAAGCCCAGGATCAGCTCGGAGGAGCAATGGCAGCTGTAGCTCTGCCACTATTTCTGGCTCCGTCACATGACCCGTTACATAAGCCCATTTTTCTTGCTCTAAAAAACAGTAAACTGCGACACAGGAAATACAACACAACCCCCTGACTCCCCTCCCCCTCTTCCCGACGCCTTTTCCATCGCTCAAACACACACATGCAGATTGGACCTGAAATCAGCTCACACACCTCTTGACCCTGTCCACCCACTGGCCGCAGTGTCCCGCGAATCCTGTTAATAATTGGCCTGAAAGGAGGCATGTGCAAACAGATCGCACGTTTACTATGTACTATGTGTGCGAGACGTGTGCGGGTGTGTTTGTTTATGTGTGCGTGTGTCCTTTGCAACATATGAGTCCATATCAGCACTGCATCTTTAAACACAGCCTAGATTTCTACCATTTCAGTCTCTTAGAATGAACAAAAAACACCTTTCCCATAGAAATAATAACCCACACACTATTCAAATCTCTTTGCATCATTGGTAATGTTCCATAAGTTTTGCACATACCACATTTCATGTTTTTTTGTTTGTTTCCAATATGTTAAAATCAGCAAAATAAACCGTAATTGTACATTAAAATGCCTTCCGCCCAATGACAGCTGGGATAGACTCCAGCACCCCACCAGTGACCCAGAGGGATAAGCGGTATAGATGATGTATGTATGTATGTATGTATGTACATTAAAATGTGCTGAAGGGTGTTTTCTGGAGGATGTGCTCATTTATTTTCACTTAAAAAATCAACTGAACATGTCATCTGATCACACACACACACACACACACACACACACATACATCTTCTAAGCCGCTTATCCTACTGGGTCATTTGATCAGGGGTGCACAAACTTTTACAACTCTTTTACAACTGTAGACCTATTCTTTGTTAACGTCAGTGAAGTATTCAGCAAATATTCAGAGTTTAGCACACATGCTCTAGTTTGCTATAAAAGAATTCTGTAATTATTATACTTATCGCTCTTAACACAATGGATGTACTGAGGAATAGTGAGATTCACAGAATTTTGTTGAGATAGAGGGGTAGGGCAAAGTGTTAGGGCTACATGGCCCTCCAAACAGAGTTTTTTCAGAGGCACAATCCAAACTAAATGTTAGATGGCTGCACAAGCAATCAAAGAAACCCACAAATGTATTTTCTCAATTAAAAAATTACAGTAACACAATAACCATTGTATTATCGTAGTTTAATATCGTTTCAATGTATTATGGTTCATTTCTCCATAAAAACAAGCATAAAAATTGCTAGTAGTCTGCTGAAGCCTTGGTAGCTAGCTAGCTAAATTTCCCATTTCACCTAAATGGTTCAGTGGTTTTGATGCCTGAGGGGCTGGAATATAACTGCTGCACCATTTTAGGTGGAACACGAAAGTTCAACCAAAAAGCTGGAGAATAGCTGACTTCAGCCTCATATCACTGAAGAATTAGGGATGGATGATAATTATTAATAATTATCGCACCCCCCTCACCCCCCCCACTCCCCCCCACACTTTAAGGGAACATGATGCCCTAAATGAACTAAAGCCCAGCAGTGGGGTTGCTGAACTTTACCCTCCTCTGCTTTCACTGCAGTCTGGCAGGGTCGCCTACAGAGCACAGCTAGTAATCTGTTAATGAAGTAATGTCTTTTATTTTAGGGGTGTCCCATTTCGTAGAGGAAGATTTCATCCACTTCCCCTTGTAACTCAGTTCCAAGGGGCAAGGTGGCACTCAAAACAAGGGGTGGGGATAAAAAATAAGAAATGGGCCTGTGTGTCCTTTCTGTTGACATTTGTGCCAGACTTGCCATGCACAGCCGGTGTAAACTGCCACGGTGAAATGCGCTTCACTTAGCTTTGCTGTTGGCATGCTGCAATTACATTGTTGCAGCGGTATGGCTGTGTTTCAGTTGAATTGCACTTATTAATGAATCAAGATCATGATGTTAAAATAATCTCTAAAGTGAACATTTGAGTCGATGCACTTCTGCACTATGTCTTATTTGTGTGATGACTGAGGTGTAATGTGTAAATGTGTAGCACTTGTAATCAAGTGTATTTACTCTGTCTATATAATGTCTGTGCTCTTCCGCTACTGTTGCACCTACATTTTCCCTTTGGAGATCGATGAAGTACATCCATCCACCCACTGATCCAACTATCATTCACAACAAGTGTCTTTGTTAAGCCACTCCTTAC